TATGTTAAATCTTTTAAAATTATCCCATAGTTCTTAGATGTTCGACATTTTCTCACATTCTTTGTTCTTTCCTGTTTCATTTTCTAATGTTCATTGGAGCAGTTGGTGTGAATTATAGGAATGCATGTTACAGTTTTCTGGATTTTCAGGGACAAACTCTTGGAACACACATACGCATACATACTTTCATGGAAGAAAAATTAATTCTCAAATATATACAATCTAGTAAGGAAGGGAAACATATTTCTAACTACCCCCTTCCTTCTCCTATTTGTAAGATATTTCTTTCATTATAGAAATCAAACCTCATTATTATCCTATTGGGATGGAGTATGTGTCCAATAGGTGAGACATAGTTCTGAATGATACCTGAGCTAAAAAAAAACATACACAGCCAAAACTCAGAAATTGTTCATTGAAAAAAAAAAAAAAACCTTGAAATTCTAGACGAGGGCCATTTTCAAGTCTTACATTTGAGGCCAAGAGACACCTTCCCAATTGTCTGTATGTGGTAAACAGAGAGAATATTTATTGAAGGTCATAATCACACTTGACTGGATATAATACAGAATAGRCAAATTTGAGGAAGAAGATAGTTGAAGAAATAGAGATGTATGTAGGGGTAGACAACTGTGTTTTTCTGCGGGAAACAAAATACTGATTTTTTGATTAAATTAAATTAGACTTGGAATAAAGTAAGGTGAGCATATGAGACTCACTTGAGCAAATCAATCAGGTTTCCAGACTGCAGAGCTTCAGGCGGTGTTTTATGTGAATAGCATCCAGTAGCACAATGCCATTTGCACGGGTGCTGTGTGAATGAAGCCCTCTGGGTTGTGCCATCCAGCTTATTGTGAAAGGAGCCCTTGGAATAATAACAATTTTAATTTTCATGTGAATTACTTTTAATCTTGCTTCTTTTAAGAGTCTTCCAAAATCAACCTTTCCTGGAACACGATACTAAGTTAAATGTCATTTCTCAAAATATCTACAGTGGCACTGCACTATCATTGTACATGTATCTCAGTACATGTAAGAGATTGTGTACTTGTCTCTTCCCCCTCCTGCCTCTAAGCTCTGGGTCTGTTCCATCTCTGTACCCAGGACTCCAAACTCAGTGTCTGGCACAAAGGAAGTATTCAGTAAATGTTTCCTTCATTAAAAGTAAATTATTCTCCATAAGATATACCCAATTGCCTTATATTCTTTCCAATTTTAATTTGTTGTCAATTTAGTCCACAGAGAATGCACTATGCTCCTATTTATTAAATTAAATATCTGCTTGGAGTGGCATATTAAAAATTAAGCTTAGTTAAATCTCAATTTCCTGTGATCATTATATAAGTTGCTCATTGCTGCATCTCATATTAGCTTGGTTCAGTGGTTAGATAGCAATTAACATGAATGCTTAATGACCACTTTCCTATTCTGATATATTACTAATGATACTTACAGTTTAAAGTGCTTTAGGGTTAATTATAAATGTTTATAATTTTCCTACCCTTCTGGCTGACAGTACATTCTTAGACCTAGGAATATGATGCAGGCTTCAGACCCTTGTAGGAAGAAGGCTGGTCTGCAGAGGCTCAGCCATCAACATTTTTAACTCTTTCGTTCTTCCAACTTGCCTACACTATTTCTAGAATTTCTACTTTAGCATCAATGATACGGAAATTTTTTTCTTTGAAATGCGATACATAATTTGATTGTTTCTGGGTGACAAAACAGAAGATATTTTTTGAGRGAAGTCACAACAGTCTGGGACCCAAAGGGATTTAAGGAGTGAGGCAATGGATCTCTCCATTTTATCCCTGTCTTTCTTTTCAATTCTCTTCTACACCCAAGCTGCTTCTATTGAGATAAATTAGAGATTGGATTCTCCTACCTTAGCAGAAGCATATTATAAAGAACAAGTCATAAGACAAAAATTCTATTTTAAAATATAATATGGATGGATATCCAGACATAGTAAAGCAACCATCACAGGCCTTTTGTAGGTTTCTCATTAAAATAATAAATATTAAGTGGTCACAAACTATGTAGTTTGGTATTGTCTATTATTTCACACATTTATTTTTCTTTATAAATATTTCTATGAATATGTCCAAGCTGAATCACAAGCTTTCCAACCTATAGAAACATTATGTTTCTTTTCTGTTTTCTCTTGTCAGTACAGTGCCCATCTTTAATACTTAATTCTTATTATTAACATTATTTATATGAAAGTATGCATTTTAACTCTGAAATATTTAGCTCAACTAATAATTCTAAAATTAAGATAACTGATACATGCAATAGCAAATCAGAATGCAGTGGATATTTTACTGTAATATATATTTTGGTTGGTGTAGCCAAAATCTAATAGTTTTTATCAAGATGACTTGGTGATAGCAGGTCCGCAAAACAGTTCAAAAAGATGATTTGCACAAGCCAATTTCAGGGAGTGGGTCAGGATGAGTAGACAGTCACCTTAGAGTTAAGCAAATGAATGTATAAGTCACAAAATTAGGGATCAGAAAGGACCCAGTGATTCTCAGACTAAAAAATTCTCTAGAGTGGATTATTGTATAGTCAATTCAAATAAGAAGTKAAAGTAATCTTCATCTCATAGCTCTCTTCAGCACCTACAATATCATGGGAGTYGGGGATAAATACTTATGGATTAATGCCAACCAAATAAGGAGTGTCGTGTGTACCACGACCACCATCACATATCAAAAGCATGCTGAAAAAGAAGTTATACTACTTCATTTAAGAAGAAGTTGGCTGCTTCACAAATACACCTCAGAATGGATACTGATGATACAATAATTTTGTGGACCACTAATTGATGCTTTTTATTCATGCATGAATTCAACATTTTATTATAAGTTCTAAAGTGATACGAAATTATACAGTTAAAATTTTTAAGAAGTGGATGGCAGATAACTTAGAAGTGGAACATTTGTTTATACTTGATGAAACTGTTTTGGTCATTATGTATCATTTCACTCTTTGCCTTTGAACAAAGATACTCATTTTCATTTACTCTTAGAGCACTTCAAGAAATGCAATTAAAAACTGATGAGTAACCAAGATAGTGTGTTCTGGGAATGTGGAAATATTTACTTTCGGTGAAGTRCAAATTAGTTGGATATGCAGATTTAGTATTAAATAGATAAGATATTTTCATAAAATCTCAAGCAATGTGTTTGAAAAGGCAAGCACCAATAATTTGTTGCTCATTCAGACAAAGGTTTTCAAGTTCCCTTCACCATTTCTCTGTATCTCAAATGAATGAGTTACTCATATTAGATAGTCAGTCTTATTAAGAAATTCATTTCGATGAGTATCTTAAACTTAATTTTTATGAAAGTTTTTATCACTTYCCTATTTACATTGTTCAGATCCATTTAACTTGAGTATTTTGTCATTTAGAGTAATAACTCATCAATCCATGGTGCAACCTTTCTTTGTTACTTTTCTTAGTGCTCTGAAATGTGCTATTTTGAATCCCTGAAATGTTATAAACCACCAGATTGCTAATTRCTTTGGATGCTGTGAAAAATAATTACTCCACATTATTTTTGATATTTAATTGACAGTGTAATGCATTTAACTAAAGACCTGCAATAAACTATTTCTAATTACTGAGGGTGGTGGAGTGGAAAAGTAGGCTGTAAAACTTTACAAGGAAAGCAATGTTTCTCCATTATGTTAAAAGTCCTTGTTGATAGAACTTTCTCAGAAACAAAAAAGTTCTCCCAAATGGAAAATTCTGGTAAGCTTTAGAAGGAGTTGTAGAGTAGTTCTAGTAATAATATAATAAGGATTTTAATAAATTATTATGTTTAAATAGATCATACAGTGATGTATGTCATATTTCTAAATTTACTATATACTTGCACTGAAATGTTTTTCTTCTACACCTGGCAGAACTTTACAAGAGGGATTATCAGGGATCTACCTGAATGAGTAATCTGTCACTGGTCTGTATTCATTTTATTCTGCTTCTGTAGGACATTTTGCTGAAAAGCAGTAACACATTTTATTTGTCATTGATACAGTCATGTACTGCATGATGACATTTTGGTGAATAACGGACGGTACATACAAAGTGAGATTATAATGGAGCTTAAAAATCCCCGAAGCCTAGTGATGTCACAGACACCTTAGACATCATGGTGCAAAGCATCATCCCTGTGTTTTCAATGATGCTGCTATAGACAGATCTACTGTGCTGCTAGTCATATAAAAATATAGCAATACAATTATGTGCAGTATGTAATGCCTGATAATAAACAACTGTGTTTCTGGATTATGCATTTACTATACTGTACTTTGCATTATTATTTTACAGTAAACTCCCACTACTTTTTTGGAAAAAGAAAATGTTTTCTGTGCTTTTCCAGAATCAGCAAAATCATCTCTTGTTTCATGGAGGTATAGGATTTTCACTTGTGTTTGTGCAAACATGAGTATCAACATCTCATAATGTTTTAYGGTTCCATTAATAGGCCAAATCCTGTGATTGAACTAGGCCATCCAGGTCTAAGAAAGTACATTCCTTGATGTTCTCACAACACCAAAACTACTGCCAGACTCCTTTCTCAGAACATATATTAACTGTTAACTTACTTGTGAGTGTTGGCAGATATTATCAGGGGGTAGGTCTGTTCTTGGCTCCCATGGTAAGAACCTATCACTACAAACAGATCCCTGGAAATAATACTTAGAGCCCAGTGCAAGAAACTTATGTTTCTAGGAGAATCACAGACAAGCCATGAAAGTGTTAGGTTCTTTCAGAAGATGTGTACTATTTTCACTATCCTGTGGCTCCCAGATATTATTAATATTATTTGGCATATTGTTGTTTTCCTATTCATAATTCCTTGTTAAAATAAAATGCCCCCAATGGTATTTCTTTAAATTGTTGATTTAACTTCAATTTTTGTGTATTTTCCAAAACATAACTAAAATAAGTGACTGTTTCAGGGAATGTAAATTATTTTCAGAATTTCAGAAATTGAAAAGGGAAAAGAGGAAGGAGAAAATGCTGGGCTGGTGTGAAGCGATAGCCCGTAACCCTCACAGAATCCCAAACAACACGCGAACACCCGAGATCTCAGGGGATTTGGCTGATACCTCACAAACCTCCACATTGGTGAGTGGAAAGTTATTTTACCTCACAATSTCTTATACTTAAATGGAATGCTAAGAAATGGGGAGAGGATGKCATGCTAAGTAAGTGTTCATCTCCTTTATGGTTGTGTTTGCTTTCTGGTATAATATTCATTTAAATCCAGTTTAATGGATGGCAATAAAATATCTTATCTCAATTAACTACAAATATCATGTAACAGTACAATTTAACTTAAATTAAACAATTATTTCTTTTTCTTTCTTTTACTTTGGAATTATTCTTAATTATGTTAGCAACTTAGAGAAATTCTAAAAGTTCTTGGAATCTATAATTCCATTATAACTGTATAATGGAATCATTGTGGGGAAAGCAAATGAGTCAGCCGAACACAATTAAAGAATTAGAATCATACTTTCTGTATTTTCTTATACTTTTTCTAAAAATATCTGAGTAAAAGTATTAAAGCCTGGTGATTTTCACCAGTTGTGAATTAAAGGGCTGCAAAAATAATTTGAAGAACAAATCAATAATATACTCTGCAATGTTTTGTTTTCAGCTTTAATTAGCCACTATTTTCCAGTAATAGGAGTACATGATTCATTGGCAAGAGGACTTTTAAATATTCTTTGCTTAGATTTTGGCTATAAAATAATTTTTTTTATTTAAAGATGGAAAATTCCATTCACTAAGTTTTAAATTAACATTTAAACGTATGTATTATCATGTTATCATCTTATAAGAATGTGCATGTTTCCATTAGCCTATTTTACTAGTTGATAAACATATAATTAAATATCACTTGGGCTGGGGATATGGCTCAAGTCGTAGTGCACTCGCCTGACATGCTCGGGGTACTGGGTTTGATCCTCAGCACCACATAAAAATAAAATAAAGATGTTGTGTCCACCGAAAACTAAAAAATAAATATTAAAAATCTCTCTCTCTCTCTCTCTCTCTCTCTCTTTAAAAAAATCACTTAATGTTATCCAGGGTTTTATTTTAACTTTTGGTTTATTTGAAAATTTTTATTACTTCATTGTCTTAGTCTGTTTGTTCTACTGTATAAATGGGTGGCTTATGACAAACAGATTTGGATCATGGACTTTTTCTGAACTGTGAGACTATAAAAATTTTGTGTTGTCAGTATAGTGAGTAATGCTTCCTCTTCATGAGAAAATGGAACATGATATGAATATTTAATGACCATAAAGGTAGATTGTGGCAGAGATGATATGGGTGCTCTCTAATGCCATCTCCTTTTCCTGGCTGTAAAGGAGTACAGCATTCACTACCTTCCCTCAGATTGGTTCCTAGTCATGGTCAGGGTGTCCTTGGGGGGAGGAAGGAGTGACAAGCTCCCTTGGGCCTCATCTGTAAGGTCACTGGTCCCATTCATGGAGGTTGCACCCTCATGGCCTGATCCCTTCCCAAAGGCCCACCTCTGATTACCATCACCTCAGGGTGAGGATTTCAGCATATGAAGTTCTAAGAGGACATAAACATTCCGATCACATCATTAATGTAGAGATAATGATCCTGAATAAACATTAGTGAATGAATGTCACAGAAGCAAGGAACAGGATTCTGGTTGACAAAACTTAAAAGTAGCATCAAAATCCTGCTTAAATCCCTTCCTTTTGGATTGCTGGGGGAGGGCTAAGGGTATGGAGAGATGGGTGCGATACTATTGGATATTCAGAGTTCTAAAGAATAGATTCTTTGAAATTATCACCTGTGCTGTGTCATTTCACTCTAACACAATCTTTTGCTAAGTTATCTTTTACAATAAAACTGCTTGTCATACAATAAACCTGTGTTATACAATATAATAAAACTGTGTTAGACGATATTTATACATACAGCTGATGACTGGAATTGTAGCTCAGTGATGGAGCACTTACCTAGCATGTGCCAGGCCCTGAGTCAGATTCTCAATACCAGAAAATAGATACATTCTCAAGTATCAGTCAATAACTAAAAAAAATTTAAATAAAGAAATATTTTCTTCTGTAGTTCTAATAAAGGAGCTTTTAGTGCTTAACTCCTMTTTTATGGAATCATAAATCAAAAATCACATAAAATCTTGAGCAAACACTTGGCCTAGCTTTCTGCCTATAACCAGTAACCTAATATTACCTTCATTTCACAGAGGTGTATTGTGGCCCAGAGAAGTTAATTGACTTACGGATAGCTGGTAAAGATGAAAGGGTGACAGGTAACAGGCTTCTGAAGGCCAGGCTTTTCTACTAAGCACACCATCTCCTTTTCTTGATGACATTTTCTTCCCATTCAAATAATTTTAGTAGAAAGAAAGCTATACCAAGTTATCGATTTAATTAAATGCAGTAGTTATTTGATACTGTATTAGGGGAATAACCTCAAACCATTGTAGCACATAAACCTCAAACCTGTTTCTTAACAAAGAGAAATAAAACATTTCTTTCTCTTCTCAGAGCCTGATGTGTGTTGGGCAGCTGTCCTTGGATGTTTGCTGCCTACCAATAACATTCCTTCCATCTTCTGATGCTGCCCTCTTAAACATGTGACCTCTTGGGTCACTAAGGAAAATAAGGAGATTGGGCCCTTAATGCACGGAGCAGCCTTGAAAGCCTGGGCCTCATCCAATTGGCCCAAACCTAACCCCTTGGCCCAATTAAAGTGTAAGAGAAGGTGGTGAAGGTTGTATTCCTATGCAGCAAAGGAAGTGAGATGGAATTAGTAAACAACCATCTCATCTCTGCCACCGCCCACTTCTCACGAAAAGATGAGTATTTCACGAAATATTCAATGCATGTTTCTTTCTTTCATAAAAGGGAGCATTATTCTCTAGACTGACAACACAAAATTCTTCTCGTCTCAGAACTCAAAGTTCACATTGTCCTCTTCAAACAATGGTGACAGTGGTGACCATGATCAAATTATCTGCCTCTAATCAATGTACAAGAGAATAATGCTTTTCCCCATGTAATGGAGATTATGAAACCAGGAGTTGATTTCAGTGTTAAATACCTTGAGTCTCCTATTTCCAGAATCTTGGCATTCTAATTTTCCAATTCCTTGAAATCTTATTAGGGTTCTGATAGTTTTGCTTCTGACAATCCATGTGTCTGGATTTTTTTTTTTGGCATGCCTTTTACCTCACTCTTCTCCCATGTCTCTATCAAGTTGATCTTGTCTTGAAAAATATGTATAATACAGAGAAATGGGTTTACAACTTGGAGGTTATAGCTTGATTATCAGGATAGAAAGCTGAGTTAGGAAATTAACAATACACTGGGAAATTTCAAATGCTATCATGATAAAAATTTGCTTCTGTTCACAATTCAGTCCAATATAGGTAACTTGACTTATCAACAAAGAATGCAGGGATTCGTTTCCTCACATCTCATGCTGCTATTGTTAAAAACATGGCTTTTGAACTTATCAGAGAAGGGAAAGAGAATGAGTGGTTAATCATGAAACTACATAGGTAGGTGTAAAAGTGATGTGCCTCTCACTCTGTCCTCATACCATTGGCTGGAAATCATGGACATATGCAAATACATATGTAAGAATGCTGGGAAAAATAGTCTTCCTCCATGACACAAATAGGAAATGTAAGGTATTTAGTCAGTCTCTATCGCAAATGCATTCCTTCCTTGTGAAGTAATCTTTTTGATTTGCATTTTCACTTTGTATAAGCATACATTTATTATTATTCCTCTGCTGTCAACCAGAGCATTTTAGGCTATCAAGTATAAATTATATGCCTTCTAAAGATGATGATGATCACCATCATGATCACGATGATGGCTGTTATGTTCCAGGAACTTTTCTAAGCATATTACAAATATATTCATTTTTAAGATTCACAAAAATCTGATGAGGTGGGTATGATCATTGCCCCTATCATATGGATAAAGAAACTTAGGTATAGAGAAACTTTAAAACCTATCCAAACTGACTTTGGTAATAACCGATGAAGCCGGTTTTTCAACAATTCAAGCAGTCTTAACGGGTAACTCCACTCTATAATAGTATCCCTCCTGAGTTGGGGAAAGACTGCCGTCATTATCTGAATTGTATATATTTGACTAAAAACAAAGATTGCAAATGAGAAAATAATTCATTACAGCATAAACACAAGTAAAATCTTTCCTTTATAATACATTGTGCTATGTGCCTGTTAGATTATTCGGTGCTCTACATGGATGGACATATAAATGTGGACAGTTTCACAGCATTTGCACCGTCTCATTCTCAGTAACTGATCTGATTGAAAAGATCTAGGTTTTCTATTTTGATCTATAAGGCAATTCATGCTACCTGCTTTATAAACTCAGAAAATATTTATTGAGCTTAAAATCTTTGAAAATAAATAAGAACTTTGAGGGACTTGAAGGATTATGCTTATGAAGCAGAGATCCTCACCACTGTAACCTAAATGGGAAAAGGCATCTCATCTTAAATGACAGGCAGGGAAGAAATCTCTCTTTAAATTTATTGGAACACGATTATACTTGTTGAAAACAAAAACACTTTATGCCAACTCTACCCTTAAGCAATTTATTGAACCAAATCAGAGCTCCAATATTAAATTTAAAGTGAGAGCAAAGGAGATCAAAATAATCAAGAATTAAGAAGGTGAATGATTCTATGAGGATTAGAGTTGAAAAATCTATGGAAGTCAACATAGGAAGATTAGAAAATGTCATTTTTAGATGGTCAGCAATGACTCCAGAGAAAATTACCCATCTACAATCAATGATAATTCTTTGAGGCTATTAATAGACTGTCATCGGGTAGAGAAGAAAAAGTGTCACTCCATTTGTTTGACAGAAATGACTTGTCACTTTCAAATAGCTCAGACGATGTTTCTCTAGACTTCTATGGATAGGTGCTCCTTGATTTATGCTGGGTTATGTCTAACCCATCATAAGTTGAAAATATTAAGTAAAAATGTGTTTAATACACTTAGTGAACATCATCAGAGTGTAGCAAAATCATACACAGATGAACACACACAGCTAGCTTGGAACTAT